TGGTTTCCATCTTACTCAAATAAAACGAAGCAGTTGATTCCTAATTTACTTAGTGTTTATTCTTGTTTGATATTTTTAAACAAAAATGCAGTCATTAAACAAATAGTAAATATGCGAGTTTTTTGTTTTTGACGAACGAGGACAAGGAAGACAAAATGGCATTAGTTTTGTGTAGGGTCGATCGCAATCTCCGGTTTGTATCGAAAGCACGTCTCACAAATGAAATTTTTTTTTTTGAGCAATAATTTGATAGTAATTAAACAAATTTCAATTGTTGGCATATGTAATGGCTGGATCATTTACTTTCAAGGGCTCAAAGTCCGGACAAACATAATTAGCTACGATGTTTTTATTTATCTGTTCTAGGTATGTTGTACAGACTTTTTAGTTGTACTATTTTGATGATTTAATTTCAAGAATCTGTCAAGGAAACCCATAAGAAAATCAAAGCAAAAATTATTCATCTGCAGACGAAACAAACCCCGACCTCTAGAAATACCTCATTCATAGATTGCCTCATTAGTGCCCTTTGTTTACAAGTATAGTGTCCTTGCATGTTTTTCAAAATGCCCATATCAAAATCATGTGTTTCCATATACAGTATGTCATAGATTCTCAGACATCTTGATCAATTTTATTGATGGGTTGACCTACATGAAATTACATTCACTTATTAGGCAAAGCCTATACCTTTATAATACATGCTCTGATAACACGGGAGCTATTTACAGTTTGACTTTGATTCATAGCATAAAAACAGTTTTCACCCTCCCTTATTATGACAGACTCAAAAGCGAGTAATTTCCATTCCCCTAAAGGGTAAACAATGATTCAGTCCTGTACTTTATGCTACAATTTGAAACAGTTTATTTTGTTTGCTTAACATGTTTATTTTCCTTCAATTATGTTTTCGTGGTCGTCACTGCGTTCCTGGAATCTTGCTGATAACGTTTTAGTCCCAATTTACATAGCCATCACAGAAGAAATTCAACAAGCGTCGTCAATGTTTCATAGAGAAAAAAGTAATTAGCATAACAATTTTTTTTTACCTTTGTCACCCTTTTTAATTACCCTTGACTTTTCCCACGCCCTAGAGAATTACAATGTACATCACAAGAATTGTTTCTCGGGAGTCTGTACTAAAAATGAATCCATGTCCTCCATAAAAAAACGGTTTGTGTTGTTTTGGTTCTAACTGGTCACCGCGTTTCCTGGAATCTTGCCAATATACCCAAGGTAAATAGACTCTCACCCCTTGGTTATTATCACAGATTTTTGACCGAAATTGTCATCTAACTGTAAAACTGTTGCTTACTAGCTTCTTAGTTGGAATGACAATTTTTGGTTTCAAATACCCCAAGAAAGTGTTCTATGTTCTTCAATTAGGTGTTCGTATGCAAAGGATTTTTCATAAAACTTTAACTCTTTGCAACAATGAAAGAACTGCGACAAAGCCCTACTCCCTGCGAAAGCTACCTGGTACGAAATCCATTTACTGTGAAAGCCACTCATCGTGAAGCTACAAGTTCAATAAAATAAAATATTATGTGAGTGTATAAATGGCAACTTCAGACCAGTGACAATAACCACTGAGAGAGCGTCTACAAAGGTCACAAGTCTCTTATTTGTTTTGCAGTCTATCAGGCTTTAGTGGTGACCCAGCGTTCAACATTTAACCACTCACATAATATTTCACTTTCTTTTAAAAAAACATCAAAAAACAAACAAAAGACTGTATGCAAGTATGTAGACTTCTAAATACAATATTTACCATATTACCGGGGGTAGAAGTGCATCTCAAATAGAAGCACCAGGTCTTGACTTTTGAAAATTTCCTGAGAACTAAAAATAGCTCTTCTGAACACAGTAATGTGAGTGATTAAGAGAGCTATGCTATTATGCCATGGAGTGGGTGACTGATGAACTTTACAAATGTTGAATAATTGTGTACAACATGTCTAACTAAAGTTATTATTTCATATTGACAGCAATATTTTGTGGTGCTATTATGGTTCACTCATACGAGATTCTACCATCTTGTTAGTTAATTTAGTTGGAAGTACAATACAAGTTTGCTGCATCGTAGTTTATCTATATTTCACAACAGAGAAAGTAAGTTTATTTAACTAAATCCTAATCTTAGGCAATATTGCTTTGTGTTCATGTACTAATACCAATACATTATAATAGCATTCACGCACAGCTCTTTATCATGGAATAAGAGTCAAAATAACTTGCCCATGCTAAGAAAACTTGCACAGCTCTTTATCATGGAATAAGAGTCAAAATACCTTGCCTATGCTAAGAAAACTTGCATGAACGCAAGTACAAATCCAAATCTATAGCAGAGGTTAATACAGTGTGCGCTGACACTTTTTTTGGGCTAAGTGCCTAAAATGCCATTGTATTCAATGTTAATTTCAAAGATTTACTATTATATTCATAACTATTCATTTCGGTATGCCACTTCCGACTTGACAATCAGCGCGGACACATCTAGAGATATTGTTCTTGGGGAAAAAATGAATAGACGATGAGATTCTGTGCTACTTCCTGTTATTCCTTCCTAGTTTAATACTGAAGATGGGAGTTCCTTAGCCTGTGCTAACCACTGTTTCCTCCTGTGCACAAACGCAGTCTATCCAATATGCATATGAGATTACAAAGGTCAATGTGACATTGTTTGAACCCTTTGAACCTGTGTCATATTTCATGAACCTCATATTTTTAAGATTACTATTACCAATTACCGAAATTGTCCATTTGATGTTCAATATTTAAGGATCATCTATGATTGCTGCTAAAATATTTGTTCCCTCATTTGCATATTTCAAAATTTGTCCCAAATCAATGACAAAGTAAGCAAAAAAAGTGGAGAGCTCAACTTTTTTCCCTGAAATCAAATGCATAATCCAAAAACTACATGTAGGTTTTTTTTTAATTTTTAAAAAGCCAGTCATTGGGAATAAGTTGTTTTACTTCTGATGAAATGAATACACTGATCACTCTACAATGGAATATGATTAGATATTGTACAGATAGTACATACAGACCATCTAATCGCTTTAGCAGAATGTTGTGGTTTCCATGGAAACTGACATTATACAGTACAACTGCTGTTAGGGGATTAAGTCATGTGACTAGCTGGTTTTCTAGCTAAACTACATGTATCAGCACTGGTAGATTATTCACATGTATTTTGTGAGTGCCCTAAAAATATAGTTTACAAAGTTACAGCTATTTTGGTAAACATGTGCTTATATAAACATATACACATGTATAAGAGAAATGACTAATTTAAAAATAGTTTGTTTTGCTTTTTATAATAATGATACTATATTTTTGTTTTATTTTATTTTTATTAAATACATTAGTAAACAAATAATTACATTGCGTTCTTGAGATAGTTGGTTTGAAAATATTTAAAATTCAATTACCTGATAACTAATAATTGGAATATTCACAGTTAACAATAACAATGTATTGTGGTTCAAAACTGAATGGTCTAAATAATTATATTAATGTGCTAAAATTGATACATTGTATTTTGTAGACTGTTTTATAGAACACAGTGATATAGGTCAGAGTTCATTTCTTTTTTCAAATTTATTTTTGTAGTACTGCCATTCATAATAATCCCAATATTTTTGTTTTGTAAAGTAACAATAATTTAAAAACAAGGGAACTGAGGCAAAACTATAAGAATCTATGTTTTTTTTCTGTAATCTCTTGATTTTGTGGTTTTAGCAAAATAAAAATATTTTGTTTTCACAAAATCAAGTGGCAGATGGGGTGAGATAAAATGAGTAGTTGAGTACACGTATTGTTACTTTCCTGTATAATTCATGAATGTTTTCTATAACTGTACACAACGATTCTGTATTGTATAGATTTAACCACGTACCCTTTCAACATTGCAATAATTGCATCAGCTTAACGCAATGCCTGCTGTAACCCTCCATAGTTAGTCAAAATGAATGGAAAAAATGACATCAACAGACGATGTGTTAATTTAGCTACCAGTATATTCCCACAATATACCAGACTTTAATGAATTATCACTACCGGTACCATATGCACTTTATGAGGAGTATATTCACTCATGTAAATAGTTTATAAAATTAAGTTGATGTATATAAATAGTCCCAGCACATACCAAATAAAAAATTGAGATACCAGTGTGTACCTCCAGAAGAAAGAGTACTGGTATGTACTCTATGTTATAATCAGTTTCTTGGCAATGTAGTTTGTTTTATCATGAAATCATGTTTTAGAACACATGATCAGTTCTATATACATGTATTTTATCAATCACCAACTCAAAGATTTGACATAATATTTGTTCAGAAAATACTAAAAACGTACGGCTGCAACACAAACTTATTTATTTGAGTCGATAGAAATCAAATAAGTTTAACTTAACTTGTTTTATATAAAACTGTATGCTAATTATTATTTTGGTCTCTAAATGAATCAAATCTGCACAAATATTGCTGAAAGGGTGGTCACTATAGGCAGGTGGTCTTTATACACAGGTTGCTCATACATACCTTGGAGTGCCTAAAATTGGTCACTATAGGCAGGTGGTCTTTCCATACTGGTTGTTCATTCATAGCTTGGACTGCCTAAAAGTTGTCACTATAGGCAGGTGGTCTTTATACACAGGTTGCTTGTACATACCTTGGACTGCCTAAAAGTGGTCACTATAGGCAGGTGGTCTTTATACACAGGTTTCTCATATGTACCTTGGACCTAAATTACTAAAAATGAAAAACATTTACATGATAGGAGTGCTCTACATTTGAACATGATAAATTATTACATGATCAAAAGTGTACAATATAATATAATTAGTTTTGAATTCAAACAGTTACACTCCAATCAAAAATAGTTTGCACTTCTGATACGCAAGTTTTCAATGGTTAAATGCAAAGGCACAACAAACTCTGCTAAGAATCTCTCAAGTGATATTGTTCCAAAAGAACATAACGGTTTTCATGATCACTTTACTTTGGCACCAGCTGTAATTGTAATATCAAATCACACAACACAGACAAATACATGACACCAAGAATAACGAAGGAATTTTATTTGTCTTGCAGAGAAAATATTCGCGACAAGCGTTTATTGCATTTTTTAGTGTTACCGTTCTCATGGTATATTTTAAATATTATGACCTTGCACCAGATGTACTTATAAAACAATTAGGTCTTGCTGCTAGTAGTGTTACCATAGCGATGTATGCATCACCTTTGGCTCAGTTGGTAAGTTGTCATCTGTTACGTTTTTTGAATCTCGTAAGGAATATGATGAATATGATCAATGGAATAAAACTAACCAGTGTGTTGACAGGGTAATCCCATCTCATGATTTCTCAACTCATTCGTAAATTTTGGGTACATTCCTATTTAATATCAACATTTACAAATACACATCCAATAATCTTAATACAATAATGTATATTCATATTTTAATATTATTAGTCCCCGTTCGGACGCAGTCCGAAAACGGGGACTTATGTTTTGCCCTGTGTGCGTGCGTGCGTCCGTCCGTCCGTGCGTCTGTCCGTCCGTGATCACCTGTATCTCGAACATGCATGGACCGATTAAGTTCAAACTTCACTCATACATCACACATTATATGGGACATATGCACATGCATTTTTTTCATGATCTGATTAACGATAGCCGAATAGCGGCCATTTTAAGACCAAAAATGCATCAAAATCGCACATTTTCACCATTCCGGACCCGGATCTCAGTTATGCATGGACAGATTTTGTTCAAATTTGGTACATACATTAAACATAATAGGACC